TATATATATAGATATAGATATATATAATGTAATCAAGTATTTGGCTCGCACAGCTTCGGGTCACTCTGATGCTTCTCATTCAGTAGTATGCATTGGATCCCTGGATGTTTTTGTAGTGGGATTTCGATAACGTGAAATGTTGCTGAACCAGGAACTGCCACTCCCTCTCTCTCAGCTTCACCGCTCATACGGCGTCTACCTTGATCCCTCTCCACTGTCTAGGTGTTACAACCCGAAGAAAAAAGGACAGTAGCCTATCACGAAGCCGGACATGCCACTGTCGGCTGGTTCCTGGAGCATTGCAATCCGCTCCTCAAAGTTTCCATCATACCGCGGGGCAAAGCGTTAGGCTATGCACAGTATCAACCCAGAGATATCTACCTTCACACCCAAGAGCAAATGTTAGATGAAATGTGTCTCGCCCTGGGAGGTCGAGCAAGTGAAGAGGTATTTTTCGAAAAGGTTGGCAGCGGTGCGGTTGATGACTTACAGCGTGTCACTCGGTCCGCCTACGCTCAGGTTGTCCAACTGGGTTTCAGTCCCAAGGTTGGACTACTCAGCTTCGATCTACCGCAACAGGGTGATATGGTTCTGACCAAACCCTATTCGGAACACACGGCTCAGTTGATTGATGATGAAGTACGGCAAATCGTTCAAAAAGCGTATGAGCGAACTTTGGGCATTATACGAGAGAAGCGTTCACTTGTGGAAAAGGTCAGTTTTCAACTTATCGATTCGTTTGCTTGTCTTTCGGTACTTTGTTGATTTGTGTATGCCTCAAGGTTAGCACTACCACCCTCGCTTAGGTAAACGGAGGTGGCCACCACCAATCTGGTTGGTGGTGTTTTCAAAAGCTGGGCAGTTTGGTTGCAAACGTTTCATCATCAATCGGGGGTAGTGTCATCAGTGCGTTGTGAGTGGAAGTGGAACGAGAGATTCAGTTGAGCCCCTCATGAAAATCAAATCTATTTGCGAATGAGTGTATTTCTCGAAAAAAATCCGATTCGGGTTCAAGTAGCACGTAAGGTTGACGGAACCTCGGGGACTGCGCCTACCTGATGAGCCCAAGAAGGGCGAAACCGTTCATGGGGTGTCGAAGAGTTTTCAGCAACCTTGTGAGTAGTTTCTTTTATGAAAATCAACGACTAGTTTGGCGCACTGCCGCGCCACACGACGTTGCATTCATGAGATCACTTTGATTGTGGTGAGACGCTTGTGGCCACGTAATCAAGCCCAGTAAACAAACATACTAACGTTGGGAATATACATTCTGCCAGAATGATGTTGGAGTAAACATGAACCTTGGATTTCAAGTTCATGGATGTTAGGCTTCAATTGTGTTTCTAAAACGTCTGTTTGCTTTGAGTACTGCGTACCGTTTATTTTCGAAAAACATAGTCACACGCATAAAAAGTGAATGAAAGCGATGAATGTGGAAGTGTTACAAGAGAATATTAGATAAAAGGGGGCGAAGTCATGCCACCACTCGTTCCAGTGAGACAAGATGAATCCCAATGTATGTAATAATTTTGGTATAGAAACACGCGTGTAAAGACCAACAAACGAGGAAAGGACAGGCAATGCTGAATGCCATTCAAGGCGCGGTAAGGGCTAGCACAGTCAAGACTCGCACATCAGACACAAAGTGCCTGTCAAACCATAGCTGATTATCGATGATAGTGGGGTAAGAACTGAATACGCCCCATGTTCATTTCGTCTTTCTCCGTACACTGCATCCATTCAACTCTCACCTGATATTATAACTTTTCGGTGTTTCACAGTGAAGAACCGAGAATTTTTATAGGAAAGGACAGGCAATGCTGAATGCCATTCAAGGCGCGGTAAGGGCTAGCACAGTCAAGACTCGCACATCAGACACAAAGTGCCTGTCAAACCATAGCTGATTATCGATGATAGTGGGGTAAGAACTGAATACGCCCCATGTTCATTTCGTTTTTCTCCGTACACTGCATCCATTCAACTCTCACCTGATATTATAACTTTTCGGTGTTTCACAGTGAAGAACCGAGAATTTTTATAGGTATGTGCATTAATATGAGATGAACCAAGTGGTTAGAGTGCGAATTTACTGACTGACCGGTCCTTGGTTAACCCGACCTCTGCCTATCGATTTCCCCTGTCTAGGCTTGAGTAACCTGCCAGTATCCCCACCCTCGTGCTTCCTTCGGGTGGCATGGTAGCTAGGCACCGGAGGGGTGCTACAGCTGGACGTTTTTCATTAGTATGAAACTTATACACGTATAGTACAGCTGGGTGATGAACAGGCATCGTTCGATGAAACTGAATGGAGAGCACCCTCTTCAGGCGGGCCTTCTCCCCGTCCACTTAGTGAGAGGCTGGTCACAGGCATTGTCCGCTTAAAAAGTACTCTGTCCACATGGACACTGCACCAAAGCAACACATTTTAATCGGTTACCAGTGGCCCATTGCTGTATTAGATGACCTATTGGGCCGGAACTCCTTCTCCTCAACATACCCACTGAGAGAGCTCTTCATCTTTTGATACATCACTGGTAACACTAAAAGTGGTCATTGTGGAGGGAATGTGAGACCGCTACTCTACGTTTTAAAGACCATCAGGTAGCACTCGGACCTACCTTGCTCGTGCCTTGGATGTATGCGGAAACAGATCGTCTGTGTCCTCTGAATAGGTGTGCCATATGTGGACGTTCCTGTGACAAAAACAGCAATTTATTTCTACTCGACCTCCTTAAGTTGCGATGAGTATCACTAAGAGTTTGCTTTCGGTGTTCCCTAAACATGAAGTGGACTCTCGCATGTTTTCCATTGTCCCACCTCCCTTTCTTCCTCCGAAGCTGGCACTCCGCCTTTTGGACAAAGAGCAATTGCAAAAGGAAGATCTGGTCGAAGTTCTTGGTCCTAGACCGTTTGCTGAGAAGAGTACGTATGAGGAGATTGTTGGCCCCGGTGAGTTCACAGCCGGTTCTATGTTCTCCGTGACCAGCCGGAGCATGGTCTATGTCGCGTTTTCCCTGTCAATATTCTGTTTACTTTCAGTTCATATTTGTCTCTTCTGTTTTTCCTGAAGGCCCATTGGACGAAGACACAACTCTACCACCCGGGCTGAAAGACTGGAATAAGGAGGAATCTGTAGAAACTAAATGCGAGCCAAGTCAGTAGTCCACGGAATGACTTTGTTCAAATCACATTGACCAGGCGATCATTGTACCGAGTTTTTCACACCTCCTTGTTATAATTTGTCGGCGGACTGACAAAAATAGTACCGCTTCATACATAACCACCCAGAGGACTTGTCTTCTCGCTGTGTTGAATACGGTTGGTTTGGAGGGATATGTAGACGTTCTAACAGGGCGCTTGCTGTCACTGTTGACTGGAAAAAATCGTTCAGCTGTAACACCCTTCCGGTGCCTAGCTGCCATACCACCCGAAGGAAGCACGAGGGCTGGGATACTGTCAGGTTGCCCAAGCCTAGACAGGGGAAGTCGAGAGGCAGAGGTCGGGTTCGAACCACGGACCTTCCAGTCAGTAAATTCGCGCTCTAGCCACTTGAGCCATCTGTCGGCTGGATTCAGTTGTCTTTCGTCAAAACCAAATTCTTGTGTAACTGAGAGTATTCTTCAACAACCCTGTTTTCTGACAGCTACAATTCACATCGGAGGTGACTCTCGCTCAAGATTATGGTGCTCCCCTTCCTGCATTTTACTGTGGTCGGTTTTACTAAGGGGTCTCTTGAAGATAGGCCACAGCGGAGCGGAGCTTTGTGAGCCCCAGTGTTTCGTTGTGCAGCTTGAGATAGCTCAACAGGTACAGCGCCCGCCTGGTTCGAGCTCAACCTGAAATTGTTCCTATCAAGGCTTGGGCAACCTGGCAGCTGTCGCACTTCGACGTGTATGGTGGCTATGCATCAAGGAGATGCTGTTATTTGAACGACTTTTATTCCACTCTCTAGCAGGCCTTTGACAGAGGACCAAAGTTCCCGGCCCTTGCTAGTGCCTTGAACAACCACATGGTCGTTTTGGAGAACCGTTACGAAGAGTCAGTAATGGTTCTCCACAAGATAGGTCAGCCGGCAACTCACATTACTCCTGAGGCGTGCATACGATGAGACCGTCTTCCACTCTGTTTTCCAAGAGAAAACTGCTAAGAAACTGATGAAGACTACTTGAAACTGTCAGGCGTACACATCGAGGATTCGCGTGAACAAACAGATGTATCGAGTTGGCGACAGTTAATTTCTGTGGTCAGTAAAATGAAGACTTATGAAGGAAAGCCCCGCGATGTTTCAACCTAAACCATACTGTCAGATGTCTTAGGAAAGTGATCAATTAATGACCGCAGCACATCTAATGATGTCTAACTACAGGCGTCGTCTATAACATAATGGTTTAGATTACCACTAAAACTCGTTGACAAAAGCCTGACACGCTCCTAATCCGTGAATCTTTACGGGGGGCACTTTTCAGTAAATGACAGTGAAAAAGCAGCTTGAATTTTTGTTTTGTCAGACCAGACTGCAGGTATTTTGACCAGTTCTGTTTGACCAGGTAATGCGACAGAATTGTTGGTGTGACGGATTACGAACAGTACGATGTTTATATCGCAGAGAGGAGATTCTGGAACAGTACTCGGAAACTTGACGAAATCCGTACTTGAAGGTGAACGGAAGTTCAAGTTCGGTACAAAGCCCGAAGTGGCGAGTAAACTTCAGTTCTTCAGTCTTTAATCTTGTAACCCAGAAAATTGGCACAGACAAATGAAACCAATACGGGTCCAATCTTCCTCAAAGGTTCGCAGATTGAATGTGAGTCAAGTTTCATAGGCCAAACCTACACCTTGGCACCCTTCCGGTGCACACCAGTCATGGAACTCAAACCAAGTCGATCAATATAGAAGTGTGGATGGCCGCTGAGTTTTGTATTTTCCTCGAATGGCCCTTAGTCCCCATTAGTTGAAAAGTATCCTCAGGCTTTTTCAAAGCGTCCGAGACGTGTATGACTTCACTGAACTGGTTGTTGCTGGATACCGACGATTCACTCACAATTACCACCCCATATGTGTTTGATTTCCAATGTGGTTTCGCCAGAACTTTTCACGAGATCGAGATGGCACTGTGATTAAGGCGCGAACTGACTAACCGGAGGGTCCATGGTCCGAACCCGAACTCTGCATCTCGACTGCTCATGTCTGGGCTAGGGTAACCTGACATAGTCTCGGTCTTCATGATTCCTTCGGGTGGCATGGCAGCTGGACACCGAAAATGCGTTGCAGCTGAACTATTTTTGAAACGTTTCACCAAGCATCTTAGTCGACCTTTGCAGTATAAAAACGCCAGATTTGTTCGCCGAGCTTGGCAGTTGGCTTGCAAACGTCTCGTCCTCAGTTGAGGAGACATCGTCAGTGCGCAGTTGAATGGGTGCCTAGCTGAGTTTATGTAGTTTTTTGTAGAGTATCCAATATCCTGTCATGTGATTGGCTAGTTGGTATAGGTCTTCTGTTGCATTGTTGTAGGACCGACCGCGATTTTCAGCTGCGTTGTGGTCTGTATGCCTCTTACTCCATTGGTTTGTTGGATGGCCAGATTTGGTCTCATTTACATCGCCACGACCTGACTACCCTTCTCTGGGTAGAACTTTTGGGACGAAACTCGGCGGCACTACTGAGAGATAGCCAAACTGTCGAACTAAAATAAAAAAATGAAATCTAATTCCCTTGCATCTAGGTTTTCATTCCTCTTCCATAAACGAATTTAGCAGCTGGTTCCCTGAATGAAATTGTGCGGAGCCCATCTATGTCGCTGAACTCTGGAAGGACACTCCCCTAGACCACTTGACGTGAGTGCCACTAGTTTGATCGCAGGTATAATTGGATGAGATCACGTATCCCATTCCTCACAAATATGGAATGGAATTATAGTCCAAAATATCTGTGCGCGAAAGTCACCCAGTATCAACGCTTCTCGAAAGTAATAAGAGAAACACATACGATATATCTGATTTCTGGCTGTTCCAACGCGAAAAATATACCCGTACATCGCACTACTGATTCACCGTCAGTAAGTACTTTCGCAAAATGGAGCGAGCGTCGAAATTATGCAACTCTTCTTGCCTGGTTGAATCCAAATACAGAGTTCTCATGCTCACTGGGCTTTCCGATTTCACGAACATAGTAGTCCTGAGGTTGCAGCCCACATACTCCCGCACTCGATCAATCACCACCCAATAAAATTTCCTAGTGTGTGCGGTTATGGTGGTGGGACCGTGGTGACAGGCGAGGGAATTACGAGTGCATCCAATGCTTTGTTTGCAGGAAACATGTTCAAACAGTTCCATGAATGAATGAATCGTTCAGCTGTAGCACCCTTTCGGTGCCTAACTGCCATGCCACCAGAAGGAGGCACGACGGCTGGGGTACTGTAAGGTTGCCCAAGTCTAGACAGGAGAAGTCGAGAGGCAGCGGTCGGGTTCGAACCACGGACCTTCCGGTCAGTAAATTAGCCCTCTAGCCATTCGGTCCCTCTCGCCCAATAGTGGTGATACAGGCCATGGAAACAGTTCCATGGCCCTAAAAATACATGTATGTCTCGGGGGCACATTCCCTCCTGGAGGTGCTACGGGTTGTCAACCTGAAACTGTTAGTCGGTCACGACAGGGCAATGGTACAGTCTGAAGTCTCAGCACGCCCCAGAACGACTGAACAGGCGAGGCCGATTAGTGGAAATTAATGGATGGACGACGTTTACCGACTATCCTGAGCTGTCAAATTACGACTTACAAGGCAGATGGGAAGTGCATGGGAGCTCCGTAACTATGTTATTCGATGCGGAAATCAATCACGCACAGTCGAACGATGGACGCACCGGTACAAGCTGTTTTTCACTTAAAAATTCGTGTTATGCAACCGAGATGGTCAGTCCATGTGTGGAGTTCGTCCAGCTTGATTTCAGTCCCGAAGATTAATTCACTTAAAAGTGTTATGCAACCGAGATGGTCAGTCCATGTGTGGAGTTCGTCCAGCTTGATTTCAGTCCCGAAGATTAATTCTTGATGAATCACAAGGGTGCAACCAGTAGATAGTCATCCACAAACTTACATCGCCTTGTAAGTGGTAACGTTTCAAACAACTTTGAGCCACAAATCGATTGAACGATTATGAGTAACGGAAATGGTTGTAATGGCCTTAAGAGTTTGACTGACATGTTGCTTTAGGGTAGTCCGCATTTACGGGGCTCGATGGTGCAGCAGAATGAACAGGAACACCAGCTGAGCAGCGAAACGCAAAAGAAGAGGCGACTGTGGGCTCCAACATCTCGGTTGCAGTGTATGTGGATCTGAAAGGCCCACCTACATTTGAATTTAGAGTTGGGAACAGCGCCATATTTGAACGGACGCAAATATGGCTACTACCGGAAGACAGTCCATTGAGGACGGATCATATGCTTCCAATCTTGAGTAGTGTTAAATAGACGTCCTTCAGTGGAGCAAACCAAGACCACCTAAACCTGTTTCAGACCCACTTTAGTCTAAAATATCGCACATTAATGGCCATAAAATGTCACCAGCCAGAGAAAAAACGGCTACGGAAGATTCCGGCATCTCACTAACATCTAAAGTCACCCTGGACAAGGAGGATATCTCACTGACGACTCGAAATGACTAGACTTTTGACTGTTCACGTTCGGAGCTTACAATGACCGATCAATAGCCTGGCTGGTTGACCTCAGCTTCAACCGACAGATGTGACTGTTCTGCTTCGGCCAATCAAACAACCCCTTGAGTATTGACCTCACACTGGTGGATGAGGTGCCCTTCGTAATTCCGATTTGCTTTCGTTTCTCACGAAAATCAGAACGACTCCTCTCTTACGGTTGAATTGAGCTTGTCAACTTGAAAGCCCTCGAGCGTAGCGCGCTTTGGGGTTGTGGTAGGTGATGAAATCCCACTGGAATGCGAATGGTTTGTCGTTGGTTATATAGACAGTTTCTGAACGCGGGCGACGAATGGAAGAACTGTACTAAAACCGTTGGTACAAACTTGTCAGGACGCGCCCAGACAGAAAAAAAGCACGTGCAGAGAGTGACGCATCCCCGAGATGACCATCGGTTCGACACGTCCGGAAAGTAGGTGAGTTGGCGGCTTTCTCCAAACACGGCTTAGCAATATACGACCAGCGTAGTAGGCCTGAGAGTGTTCACGACCGGAACACCGCCATTATCTGTACGGAGCGAACACGCGAACGATCATATTTGGCCATTTAGTCATCCTATACATTACGTAGATGCTCTGTATGCTTTGCCCTGGCAATACAGCCATGTCCCCAGTTCTCTGTCTTCTCCCTATCGCTTAGTCTGGCAGGCTCATTGCAGGCGTGACCAATAGACCGTACAACACTGGCAGGTGGGTGTTCACAATGGCAATTTCATTCGAACAGATGCAGTCTCTCCTCAGACAGCAGCAGCAACAGTTTGAGCTGGCGCAGTTGAAGCTCATCGAGACTCACTGAAAAATTGCCACTTCAGAAGCCGATCAGCCAGACTATTGAGCCGTCCACTTCAGTGATTGACACGATACTGAACGCGATTCCTGAATTCCAGTTCGATCCGATCTCATGCATTACTTTTGATTCTTGGTTCAACAAGCATGAAGACTTTTTCAGATTGGATCTGGGAAGCACAGAAGATTCTTGGAGAGCAAGACAGTTGGTCAGGAAAATCGGAGTGGCCGAACATGAACGCTTTACGAACAATATTTTGCTACGAAAACCAAGTGACCTGAATTTCGATGAAACCGTTGCTGTTTTATCGTTAATCGTCGGGAAACAGGATTCCTTGTTCAGCCGTCGATTTCACTGTATGAATTTGAGCAAGAATGCTTCTGAAGACTGGGTTACGTACGCAAGCAAAGTCGACAAGGGGTGTGAACGACTCAAACTCCGAAACATGACAGAGGATGAGTTCAAATGTCTTATATTTATGTGCGGGTTGACGTCTCCTGAAGACGCAGACATAAGGACAAGAATCCTCAGCAAGATTGAGCAGAACCCAGACGTCACATTACAGAATATTACGTCGCAATGCCGGCGCCTGGTGAATTTGAAACGTGATACTGTCATGATAGAGGAAAATGGCCCCAGCAATGTTGTTCATGCGATTCAGAAGCATACTGTCCGTCAGAGTGACAAGAAAGTACCTTCGGCATGCTGGAAATGTGGTGAGTGGTATTTCGTTTATTTTTGTCTGTTTAGAAGACACCGCTGCAGCAAATGTCCCCATATTGGACATAAAGAAGATCGGTGTGACGGCGAAAAAAGGCAAGCAACCAAGAGGCATTTTCGAACCAGAACTTTTCATTCCAAGCTTTCCAAGGCTCGCGTTGTTCTGGCCGCTCATCAAGGTGTGACGGAAAAGGCAAGCAACCAAGAGGCATTTTCGAACCAGAACTTTTCATTCCAAGCTTTCCAAGGCTCGCGTTGTTCTGGCCGCCCGCTAACGCCCACACGTAAACAGGAGGAAATACGTATCAGTGCGTATTAACAGCACACCTGTTCGTCTTCAGCTGGACACGGCATCAAACATCATGGTCAACTCAAAAAGAGCTTGGAAATTTCTTGGCAGCCCAGCATTAACCAGGACCAAACAAGTTGCACGCACCACATCCGGCAGTTTGCTGAAACTCGCTGGTGAATTCAAGTGTTCCATGACTCTTGATGGTATCGCTGTAAGTGGCATTTGTCATTTGTCCGATCGTCCCCGATTGGATTTGTTAGGATTAGATTGGATTGACAAGCTAAACCTTTCGGACAGGCCACTGAATACTATCTGTTACAAGACACAGGCGACGAAACCAAACATATTCAAAAAGCACCCTGACTCGTTTTGGAAGAGGGACTCAGAAGGTCGCAGTCTATGCACTAAGTCCTTGTCAAACCACCCTCAATCAAATGAACAAGCCAGAAAATTTATGCGTTCCTTTAAACCAGCGCTGTTGAAATCTCTAGGGGAGGGACCAACGGACGATGTCATTCGTGTTTTCCTTACCAACTACCGGACGACACCAAACCCAAGTGCGCCTAATGGGAAGTCTCCAGCGGAACTTATGTTTGGGAGGAAAAAGAAGGCATTGTTTGATGCATTGCGCCCCCGAAAAACCAGAG